AGATCGCGCCATGGCACTCCAGGCTGGGTAACAAGAGGGAAACTCTGCCAAAAAAAAAAAAAAAGAAAGAAAGAAAGAAATCAGTCTCCCAACACAAAAAAACACCTCTCGGGGTGGGGAACCTAGACCTTCCTGAAGGGCTGAGGGCTGGGGGCCCTGCAGCCTCACAGCCTTGGCTAGTCTGCCTGCAGCAGTCAGATCTAAGTTATCTGACCTAGAAGCCCTGGGCAGAGAAAATAGCAGTGTGGAGGGAGTGAAAGGGGACTGGCATGAGGATCTGGAAGGCTGCGGGGGTCCCGTGTTTCACCAACTGATGTCCTTAAAGAGTCCTCACAGCCACAGCAAGAATAGTTTCTTCCGCCTTGGACTTCCCTCTGAGGACCAGGAGTATCTAATACAGCATATACTTGAAGAGCGTAGGTTATGGAGGCAGTAGATGGCACTAGGTGGTACGTGGTGGCAGTAGGTAGTAGGATCAGATCTTACCTTTGCCACCTACTCACTGTGTGATTGTGAGTAAACTATTGAAGCTCTCTGGGCCTGTTTTCCCATCTGTATAATGGGATTAATAACAGTAGGTGAGGGTTAAAGGAATTACTACATATAAAGCACTCAGAACAATACCTGACATGCAGTCAGCCCTCAGACATGTTGTTTTGTTGTTATTATCATTAACCTTGCTCTAGTGGGGTACAAGGCCTTTCCTCTTGTTGACACCTTTTCCAAAGTATCACTACATTACTGCTCTTTGTAACTCTGATACCCCGTACCTGGGCAGGAGACAAAGCTCAATCAATGCATGAAGAAGTCCAAGGCTCAGGCGAGGGTAGGTAGGGATGAAATAACACGATGAACTGTTATTTCAATGTGCCAGGGATATATAAAGCTACTTAACCTGACCAACAACCTATAAGCAGAAATGCTTGTCCTCATTTTACTGATGTGGACACTTAGGCAGAGTGAGTTCAAGGGATTTATCCAAAGTCACAGAGCTGGTACATTTCAGAGCTGAGAAAGGTGGAGTCCACCTTCGGAGTGCTGACTCCATCTTCTACTCTTGGGTGCTGCTTTCTCAGATGTCTTGGGATTAGCGAGAAGTTATCATCTTCTACAATGTGCCTTGTTCTATGAGACTGCCTGGGAAAGGGTGCGTGAGGTTGGGAGAAAAACCCATTTGTCAAGTGAGACAGGACATGTGAGTTTCCACTTCACAACCACTACAGGTGAGGGTTTGCAAGGGAAGAGGGTTTGAGGGCACAGGGGAGGAATCAGAATTGAGATTAAAGTCACCCAGAAACCTAGGTTGACTTTAATTTAGCATCTCACCCTACAATACACACACACACACACACACACACACACACACACACACACACACAGAGTCTGTGACACTCTTGTTTTTCCCTCTCTCAAAATGCTTCTGTATCACTCACATCTTCTCTAATAGACCACTCACTCAGTCTCTGATGCTCTCTCTACCTACAGCCCATTGTCCATAGAGTTTTTCCCCTCCAAATCAGATCTTTTCATTCCCCTGTTTAAAAAATCTCCCAGGCAAAGCATGGTGGGTCACTTGTATAATCTCAGTGCTTTGGGAGGCCAAGGTGAGAGAACCGCTTGCCTCCAAGAGTTCAAAAGCAGCCTGGGCAACATAGCAAGACCTCATCTCTAAAAAAAAAAAAATTAAAAAAAATTAGCCAGGTGTGTGGGGAACACCTGTAATCCTAGCTCCTTGGAGGCTGAGGTGGGAGGGTTGCTTGAGCCTAGGAGGTTGAAGATGCAACGAGCTGTGACAGCATCACTGTGCTCAGCCTGGGTGACAAAGTGAGACCCTGTCTAAAAAAAAAAAAAAAAAAAAAAATCTCTCAATTGCATCCATGGCCTAAAGGAGAATAGTAAAACCCCTTAGCAAAAGTGCTCTTTGCTCTAGGTCTCGCCTGTCTCCCAGCCTTATTTCCCTTACTTCACCCATGTATATATATTCACAGAATCCTTTTTGCTTCCACAGCTAGGTATGCTGTTTCCCCTCCCCATGCCTTTATCTTGATGCTCCTTCTGCCTAGAAATATTTCACCTGCTTAGCTCCTGCCTTTAGTGAACATCTAATGATCTTGCAAATCCCCATCACCTTTATGAAGTGTTCTCTGACACCCCCAATTGCCTTTCCCTGTATCCCAATCACCTTTATCTTGACACTTTCCTAGAATTTATTGGTGGTTAACTCTCTCTCTTTGCGACCAGGTAATGTCTTCCCTGAAAACAGGGCCAGTGTATGACTTACCTCTTTAGCCCCACTGCCCCAATCCAGGTTTACTGACTGACTGACTAACCGGTACCCTGACTCTTCGAGTTAGCCCAGCTCAGTAGCTGCCTTCCTACTTCCAAAGAATTCTAGTGTAGACATGAGTTGCACTCTGTCTCTGTGCAGAAGTAGGAACTGATGGAGCTGCCAGTCTCCTTCCTGGAGGATTTTTTGGTTGTTTGGTTTGGTTTGGTTTAGTTTTCCACTCCTTTAGTCCAGCTCTGCAGCAGACCCACCAGCTAACGCCAGAGGAGGGGACAGGAGGAGAGAGGAGAAGCAGAGTGGGTTGGACCAGGTCGACCCAGAAGTCTCAAAAGGCTGGAGAATTTCAGGGCCTTTGTCATCCCAGGGGCTGCCTAGTGGACAGGGAAGTCTTCCACTCTGTGACCTCCGTCTCACTCACACAGGACCCTCCAGTGGCCCTGCTGGGGTCTTAGTCTCCAGCCTAAGGGGCGCCAAAGCACAGGGGCTCGAAATGGTGAGGCCAGGGAACCGGGTGCTGCCACCTCTGCCTACCCAGAGACCTAGTCAAGCCAGAGGGGGAAAGTTCCTTAGCATCCTTAAGCCCTCCTTTCCATCTGGTCTGCATTTCCACTTGTCATTGAAATCTGCTTGTCTTCTCCACCGCCCCCTCTCCTCCCCAACCCTTCTCCCATCCGTTTTCCTCCCCACCCAGCCCCCGACCCCGCTTCTTTCTTCTCTTCTTTCTTCCTCCCTACCCTCTGGCCTGGGGACTCCGGCGCCCGGAGCAGACTCTGGGAGCTGGCAGAATATGCCCAGCGCCTCTGGGTCACAGCGGGAAGGCGGCTCAGGAAATGCGCCCTCCGCTGGCGCCGGGTCGCGGTTCTGGCTGCGTTACTTTTTCCTTGCATCTGTGGCCCGGCGCGTCAACCTGGACACTGGAGATCCCAGGGCCGACTGAAGAATGAGAAGTCCGAGCTGCGGGGACTCTAGGTGTCTGCGCTAAGCGGCCACAGCCTGGCCATCCTGGGTCCCCGCTTTCCCACTTCCCTTCGCGCCAGGGCAGAAAGTCCCAGGCACCCATTGCGCGCCCAAGATTGAACCGTGAACCCTTTTTCTACCCGTCCCCTTCCCGCCAGGAACCCAGGATAACACTCCACACCCAAACACCACTCTTTCCAGGGGCAGATGCTCCGGCGCGTCCCGCGTCCTGGAAATTCAACTTGGAGTCCAGGTCCGCCCAGGCCCCGGTTAGGCGGAGCACACAGGCTGAGCGCCCCGCCCGGGGTCCTGGGTCTGCCGCCTCAGCGCGAGAACCCTGGCCCCCTCCCCACCGCGGGGCGCGGTCGGGAAAGCGCGCCCTGCAAGGGGGTTTTGTAGATAAACAAAAGCGTTTGCTCTTCTGGTTTGCTTTTATTTTCTTTATTTGCCTGTCACTTCCTTCTTAATCTCCCTCTTCGCTCTTGTTTCTTTAACTTCTTTCCCTTCCTCATTTTCCCTTTCTTTTCGTTCGCTTTTTCTTGTCACTCTCCTTCTGGCTCTCTTCTGTCTCTTTCTGTATCTTCCTCTTCCATTTTGGCCCCTTCTCTGTCTTTGGGTCCCTCTCTTTCTCTGGCTCTCCCTTTCCCCGGCCCCTCACTCTTCCTGGGCTAGGGTGCGCCGTCTTCTTGCATCGTTTTTCCGGGCTCCGCCGCCTCTTTCTCACTTTTTCGTTCTCCCGGCGGCCACAGTCTGGAGGACTTGGGTCCGGCTCCCCCGCCGCCGCAGTGATTTATTCGCCTCGGCCGGTGGAATCAGGTGCTGAACCGAGCCCCGGAACAAGGGAACAGATTTCTCCCAGGAAGCGTTTTGTGAACTAAACGATGTTAATTACGGGGTGGGGGGTGCGCCGCCCGGGGATGGTAGGGGCGCGGGGCCGAGCGCTGGCGGCGAGGGGAGAGACCGGGGCTGGCCGAGGCCCTCCCGGGGCGCCTCCCCTGCACCTCTCGCCCTGGCTTTCGCCTTTCCCTGGGAACTTTCCTGTCTGAGTTAACTATTAACCGCCGGCGAGAGGCAATTTTCTTCGGAATTTCAGCGATTTCCTTTTCGAGGTGGACTCAGATTAACATGCAAACGATGAGAGGCTCGGCTTGAGTCTACGCGCGGGCGAAGATGACTCTGTCACCCCAAACAGTGTCCTTCTCGGCGGCGGAAAACTACAGCCCGCCCCCGCTCCCATGCCTGCGCAGGAAGCCGTGACCAAGCCAGTGCCCGCCGGTGCCCGGAGTGAAGGTGGAAAAAGCCGAGCGCTCCTGCTTGGGGGCGGGGTTGAGAGGGGGAGATTAACCCGGGCAAGCCAAGGGGACCTCAGACTTGCGGCCAGGGCCGCCACCCGAGGAACCCGCGACACAGCCTGGTCCCTGCCCCCCTGCAGGGACGCTCCTGAAGGCTTAGACGAACCCCGAGAAATGCCCTCCCCAACCTGCAGAATCCACAGACCGTCTCTTACTTCCTCCCTCTTTGCCACTGCCGAGCTTACACAGGCACCACACACCCCTCTCTGGCTGTGACCGCAGCAAACTTTGTCAAACTTGAACCGCCGGGTGCAAACTCCTCGCCTTTTTCTCTCCTCTCTTGACTGGGCCGGCTCTTCCTGGAGCAGGGAGGGGAGAGGTTATTGGCCTCCATACCTGGGAGAGGAAAGTTTCCGAAAGTCAGAGCCTCGCCTTGCTGTGACATTAGACGCTTGCCACCCACCAGACCGCAGGACACCAAACACATTCCTTGCCGGAAGGCTCTAGTAGTTGCAGCGGCCAGCCTTGGCGGGGCCCTGGCCCACCAACCACGCCACTGTCCTGGCCGGACTTTCCCAGGAGTGGGTCTCCTGCTCCCTCACTTAGTAGTTGGGGCTGCCCTGGGCTTGGAGCCTGGGTTCAAGGCTGTCAGCCCCTTGCCAGCTGTCTGTGCTCTCTGCCTTTCTAGCTTATTTTCCCCAGCTCTGGCCCTGGGTTAGCTCTCTCCCGGCCCTCCATGCGGTCTCCGTCTCTGGTGGGGCTGCCACTGTCTCTCAGTCTCTCCGTTTCTCTCTGTCTCTGTCTCTCTTGTTTGTTTCAACGCCTGGACACTGATTGAGCCTTATGAAGTTCTAACTGGTTTTGTGTCAGGAAGATCTTTCTCGCTGCTACCCAGCCTGGCGTGACGGATTAAACATCAACTAGTTAAATAAAAATTAATATCAACTGCCTCCTAACTTCTAATGTCATGTTGTTTATAACTAATGAACTGATTAGGGGATAAACACATCATGAAGACATTCAACTCTCCTGCCTCGGCTCTGCTGCTGCCTGGTGCCCACTCCCCAGCATGGCCTGTGGGTTGCCAGGCCAGAAGGAAGTGGAGGGGGGGCTGGAGTTGGGACAGGCTGGAGGGGCTGAGTGCTCCCTGGGGCTTGCTCCCCTTCCTGCCTTGATCTCTTTTCTCCCTTTCTCCCTTGTCTTTCCTGCTCATTTCCTTCCTCTGTACATTTCCTTTTCTCAGCCTCTCTTTCCTTATTTCTGTCTCCCTCTCCGCTTTTTTTCCCTCCTTTCCTTCCATCCGTCGTCATCCTCCTCCTCTGCCCTGTGATTCTCCACCACTGTCTCTGGTCGTGTTTCTCTCTCTCTGCCAGTCTGGGCCCTGAACCCTTCCCTCTCTGGTTCTCCTCTCTTCCTCCCTCTGTTGGAGTTTCTGCCTCTCTCTTCCCTCTTGCTCCCCCTCATTTGAATTCATTCCTCCCTGGCCAGTGCAGAGCATAATGATTACCAGTCTTTGTGACTGAGCCTCTGTCCTGCTACCAAGTGGGGGCTGCAGCCTCTCCCTCAGCACCTTGCTGGAAACTGACGCTCCTCCCTCCTCCCAGCTATTTAGGGGAGAAGGAGGAAACTAGAAGAAGTGAGGGTCCTGTGTTTTATTTCTCCTCTATTTTATCTGGAACAGGAGTGAGGAAATAAATGATTTTTTAAAACTTTTGTTTTTCATCTTGTCCCAGAAGCAATTAATACAGTCTCAAGTGCTAAATTTAATTTTCAGGAAGAGAAACACTGCCCTGATACCTCTCCTTCAGGGGTTTCAGCTCTCTCCCCAGCCAGCCCCAGCCTGACACAAGCAGCCTCCTGCAGGGCCTTTTTCCTAAAGATACTTAAACCAAATCACAATTGTCATCATGACAACAATAAGGCAGAGAAGTCAGTAATCACAGACCCAGCCCCAGTGATTTTTTTTTTTTTCCTAAGAAGCCACAACGTTTAAACTTGGTTTGCCCTGGACCGCAGGGTCTGACAAGACAATAACAACAGAAAAAGCTTTTAAAACCAATTTAGCACACGTGAAAATGTAATTCTAATGAAGAATCAATAGGCTGGCGGATCATTTTTCCTGGGACTCCTTGGAGAACCTGAGAGAGACTTTCAATCAATGGGGCGAGCAATGAGCAAGAGGGCCCAAGAGACAGTGCAGGACAGGGATTAGGGCCAAGAGACAAAGAGAGGCAGAGCCTGAGGGAGGAGGCTGGAGGGAGGCTGAAGTACAGGCCAGGGCCCTTTGACTGACATCACTTTGCAGGCTTCCGGAGGAAAAGTATCAGAGCCAGAGGTAAGAAGGCACCTTCCTCTTCCTGGTTCCTCTGGTATGTGACAGGCGACTTTGCACAATGGCCTCAGCTGCCTTCCCCTGAGCCTAAGCCCTGGCCTTGGCACTGTCCCAACTCTGGGCCCTGTGTTCAGGTAACTGTGACCACCAACTGGCTCAGGAGCAGGTAGGGGACACTGAGTACGTGTGTTCCCAGTTCAAAACACCTGGTTCCCAGTGGGTGCTTCTCTATGTATGTGCTGGTACACTGGGTCTTAGTTCAAGTCTCTGGTAGAACAGAAACAAAAGCACCTGAAGCACGTGAGGTCATACTCCACATTTTACAAGCCACTTGCAAACACACTCTATCTCAAGAGAAACCTGCTACAAGGGCAAGGATCATCTTCACTCTTTCAGAGAAAAAACACAAAAGGACACAAAGAGCTGTGCAGTGAAGGTGAGACCAGCTGGCCACACAGCCCCTGTGCGTGAGTGGGTGTGGTTCTCAGTAGGTGACAGTGAGAGGCTAATTTCAGGTGTGATCATCTCACAGGTATGCAATGGAGAGATCACAGGATGGTGTGAGATTTTTGTGTGTGTGTGACTAGGGTTTCATGTGTACAGATTGCTCTCCATCCCTGTCCTTGGAAATGTTGCTCTGTGTATAACACAATTTTTTTTTTTTTGCTTCTAAGTATTTGTGTGCTTGGGTTGGAAAATCACTGTTTGATGAAAAAGAAAAAGAAAAAAAACCCAGGCCGGGTAAGGTGGCTCACGCCTATAATCCCAGCACTTTGGGAGGCCGAGGCGGGTGGATCACGAGGTCAAGAGATCGAGACCATCCTGGTCAACACGGTGAAACCCCGTCTCTACTAAAAAAAAAAATACAAAAAAT